TAACTTGTGGAGACTGTTTAAGAAATACTGTAATTGGGGAGGGGACTACAGGGTCAAGATTATGCACAGGAAATAGAGGGAAGGGAGAGGCACAGGTGGAGCAGGTGGCGAAGGAGGTGGCGAAGGGGGTGGGTGTGGCCCTGGAGTCCAGGGAGTGTGTGCGAGCCTCAACTCCCGGTTGTTTCCGGTCTTTTTTTTTTCTTTTTAATACATGCTGAGGCCCTTCATAAAGTCTTTCCCTGTTTTGGAGGCATCTCTGTTCACCATTCACAGAACTCTCTTGAATATATTGGAGTGTCTCCTCGCACCCCCATTCCCTGCCCATCGCCGGGGTGACCACTCTCTGAGGGCAGAGAGTGCGCACGTTACGTGGGTGAGAGGGAATGAGTTTTGCCGCACTTTCTCTGAGGACTGGGATCGTGGCGTTCACAGTTGCTAAGAATACTCATAATTAAGTATAAAGACAGGCGTTTCTTACTTGATCCTGAACCCAAATTAGAAATATAGAGTCTTAGAATCTCTTAAGAATTTAAATTCTTAGAAATTCTGACTATGGCTAAGAGGGGTAAAAGATTGCGAGGCACTCAAAGAAGAAATTTTGGATTAAACACAAGCATTTGTTGAGAATATTGTTGACTAAAAAAAAAACCAACATAATTTTGTTAGGAATCATGAACTGCTTTCAACCATACAGGTATTTATTATTTTCAATAACAGTTTCAGATAAAGGGTTGAGGGTACACTTGCTGTAACCAGGCAATTGCAGTGCTGGAGTTTGTCCTCCTGGGCTCTGTGGTTAGTGTGGTGTCAGCTGGGCTTCACAGACGGAAGGCCCGTGTTTGTGTTTGTTCAGGTACATTTGCCATCGAGACCGAGGTAAAATGATTTCTGAGGGGATTTTCAAAAGTGCACATGTATGAAGAAAACGTCCTTTGTCTTAATGCACTTTGAACAGAAAGCATGTGTGTGTGCATGTGTGTGCGTGTGAAAGCTGCGGAACCATACTTCCTGAGCTAGACATAGTTCTGCCGATTTCCATGGCAGATTCTGCTTCATGTGGCTTGAACATTTCTCGTTTTTACTTTTTCTCATTGCACAACCTTGGCCAGTCAGTCCCTAAAGGTCCGCTTGGCAATGCACTGTGCTAATCGGCAAAGTCGGCTTTTCCTGTGCTTCTCCGAGAGTAGCCCATCCAGAAACACTGACCTTTTGGTTTAATAACAGTTTTGAGAAAACGTTCATATCCTCAGAGCTGAAAAGAGTGTTTTGAGAAAGGCCATTTTAAATAGTGGTCTCCCAAAGGTGTATCTTTTTCCCTTCTGTACTTTGGATCAGACCTACCAGAAGAAATATATTGTTGCTTTCTGTATTCTATTGATTTAAAAACAAATAACAAGAAACTTAGATTTGCTCGAAAGCCATGACAAGGCTGGTTTATTTTCCTGCCTGGGCTTTGAGTTGTTCTTTCAGATTTTAAACTTGGTATGCTCAGTCATGTTTTATGTTTTGTTATTTTAAATTCTTGATTGGTGCTAAAGCAATTACTTTTTTCAGCTGTGACTTTGGAAGTGAGACCCAATAGTTGTGTGTGTGTGTGTGTGTGTGTGTGTGTGTGTGTGTGTGTGTTTCATTTCCAGAAGTAGGAAGACAGCTGTGCTCAGGGCCCTTTACTGCCCAAGGGTGCTGTCAACCAGCTTCTCCTGTGGGTATGGCTTCTTTAGTGGCCTTGGGAGCTTCCGTTCCTTAGCATTGCTGCGTGGTTTCCTCCTCCACCTCTCTCCTCCCCTCCTGGCCTCCCTAGATGATGCTGCATCTGTTTCTCACCTCACCCCACGGCAGGCGGTAGGGCTGGCTGTGTTGGGCAGGAGGGTCTGGTCTCAAAGCTGCCTTTCCATCTCTGCAGTCTTTCCTGCCAGGCTTCCTTTCCTGCCACCCAGCTGGTCACCCTGGTAATGGCATCCTTACCCATCCATTCCAGGTCAATCACATCGTAATAAAAAGCTCACTGCTGATTTCGGCTCTTCCCCTGGTAGGAAGCCCCTGTGTAAGAGGCACAAAATGTACAGCAAAGACACAAGGCTGTTTCAGCAGCTCACTTAGAAGACTGATCTCGTCGCTTCACACTTACACCTGGTCTACCGATATCTTTCAGAAGCCTAGTGTTAATGAACCAAATGGAGCTCATTGGAATTGTGATTGACAGTTTGATTGAATTTAACTGAAGAGGCATGATTTCACAGATAGAGTTTGACTGACTGTGTGTTGATTTTCACTGGTATGTTGAACTTCAGAGCATGATCAGATAATACTAATTGGTTAAAGTTTGTTTCAATTTTTTGCGACTGTAGAGCTAGCAGCTGTGAACATCTCCCAAAAGTGGAGTGTTATGTAGTTTTGCTTGTTTATGAGAAATAGATGAAAGAGTGAAAATCATTACCCTGTGGGATAGTCTAGGACTTCATAGCCAGCAGACACGCACGTGACCCACGTGGTCCTGCTTCTGAATGAGGGAATAAACATTCAGGTAGGTTATCTGATTGGTCCCATGTCTAACTACCGGAAAAATAAGGAGTAGTCAGACCTTTTGCTCAGCTGTTACTAATTTCTCTGTTACTTGTATTGTTTTAAAATCTTTAACATTGAAAATATTATAAAATTTGCCTGAATGCAAAACAAATTCCCTGTTCGTGTTTTTCTTCTTGATTTTGTGTGACCTTTTCAAAGCAGAGCTGTGTATCTCTTATTCTGTAAACTGTGAAGTAGGAGAGAAACCGGACAGCGTGAAGGGACCCTTGAGAGCAGCCACTGGAAGGTGCCGAGGTGCGGTTGGTAACTTCCCCAAGGCGCCCCGACTGTCGGTGGGCACGTCGGGCTTAGAGCTCAGCCAGTGTGGACCGTGTTCCTTTCTCCGATTCCTTGTCCACCGTTTTGTAACAGGTTTACTGAGATACATTTACCATACAAAATTTACCAGTAAAAGTATACAGTTCAGTAGTTTTTAGTGTATTTCCAGAGTTGTGAGATGGCTCTCACTGTCTAATTTCACAACATTTTCAACACCCCCAAAAGAAGTTCTTTCCCCATTCGATGTCACCGTCCATTCGCACCTTCCTCCTCCTCCTCCTGGCAACCGGTCTAATCTACTTTCTGAGAGTGTGGACTTGCCTTTCCTGGACATTTCATGTCAGCAGAAGCATACAATATATGGCCTTTTATGTCTGGTTTCTTTCACTTAGCATGGTGTTTTCAAGGTTCATCCATGTGGTAGCTTCTGTCAGTATGAAGTGACTTTTTATGGCTGAATAGTAGTGCTCTGAATGGTTATACTGCATATTGTCGACCCCATTCTCCAGTGGGTGGACATTTAGGTTATCTTCACTTTTGGGATGTTAGGAATAATGCTGTCACAGTACTCACGTACAAGTTTCTGTGTAGACATGTTTTCAGGTTTCTTAGGCATATACAGGACCTTAGAGTGAAATTGCTAGACCTTGTGGTCACTTTGTTTAGCATTTTGAGGACCTGCCTGACTCTTCTGCAGTGGCTGCATCATGTTACAGTTTCCCCTGTGCTGTGTGAAGGTTCCAATTTCTCCACATTTTAACACTTGTTATTATCTTTCTGATTATAGAGGGTTCAAATCGGTGTACCATTGTGGTTTTAAATTGCATTTCCCTAATGATGAATACTGTTGAGCAATTTTTCATGTGCTTATTGGCCATTTGTAACACTTCTTTAGAGCAATGTCTATTCATATCCTTTGCCCATTTTCAGTTGTCTCATTGTTCTGTTGTAGAAGTTCTTTGTGTTTTCTGGTTGCAAGCTACTTGTCAGCTATGTGATTTGCCAATATTTTCTCCCATTCTTTTGGGTTATCTTTTCACCTTCTTGATGATGTCCTTTGATGCGGCTGTTGTTTTCTGATAGCCCAAAAGTAAGAGAGAACATCCCCATGACCTCTCCAGTATCTTCCTTGTTACTGCCCAAAGTCACTGGAATTTCAGAAAGGCTTTTGTATGTCCTATTGTAATTCATGTTTTGTCTGTGCCCCGAGGCAAGGTGCTTACAGTGTCCAGATCACCCAACAGAGTATTGTAGCAGAGCAGAGACAGCACGGTTTGGTTTCGCCTCTGACAGCCTCAGCCATTTGAAGTAGGGGGTCCTGTGTGTGCTCCTGAGCTCTCTGGTGTGTTTCTGGTGCTTTCTGGGTCCCCAGTTTGGGTAGTGGGTTAGTGCAGAGGACGTCGTCTCTGCTTGTTTTTTGTGGGAGGCTCTGAAAGGAGTGTGTAACATTTGTCTGTTTTGTTTGCTATCATGGCTGTGGAAATCTTCACAAAACACATAGTATAGATTTTCTAATTGTGAAAACCAGATGTTTCAGATCAAGTCACCAGGTATTTAAAAAGCTCCAGCCGCATTCTCAGCACTGTTCTGAGACTCTTTCCATTTGCTGGCACTTGAATTTGAATGACATGTATTCCAAGAAGTATGTTTTAAAATGTTCATAAATGTCCTTTTTTCATAAATCATGGGAAAATGAATATAAGCACAAATAATTTTCTTTCTGTAATAAATTATTTTTAAAATATTTAATCACTAAAGTGCATATGCTTTGGTGCCATTTCCCCTCCAAAGGCCCTTCCTTATGTCATCTCTTCCCTTTAAATGTGATTATCAGACTTTAATGATAGGACATCATTTTAAGGAATTTGTACTTAATGGCTCAGTCCCTACTGGGCAGTAAACAGCTCCATGAGTTTATTACACATTTTGGCAGGTGTGGAAATTTCCAGGTCACCAGGGATTGCTTGATTAAATTACTCCTGAAATACATTAATTGCTCTTTTCCACAGCGCATAGGTAATTTCAAGGAGACGCTGACCAGCTGGCAGAACTTTGCTCTTTAATATCTAGTCCCAGCTTGGCTTTCTTGAATATTTTCTTGCTTTGCTTTTAAGAAGTCACTAATTTTATGTCCTTTTGCTCTTCACTGACCCTAGTTTCTGATGAAGAATTGAAAAGAAGAGTAGCTGAAGAGCTGGCCCTGGAGCAGGCCAAGAAGGAATCTGAAAATCAGAAACGGTGAGTTTTGTGGTGTGTGAGAAGTTTCGTTGGGCTTGTTGTCACTGAAATATTTTTAGAGAGGAGTAATTGTATTAAGACTTATTATTTGTGTCTTGCTGAACTTCCGAATGTGCTGAACACATGAACTTGGCCATTTCCGGGTTTGGATTGTGCTTGTTAAAGCCCCATGTTACCCCCTTCTCAAACATGGTTACAAACTACCATTGTATCTGCTGTGTGGTTCTTTATTACATGAGTGCTGGCGGAGCCCTGTGCTCTCAACATGTGAGAAGTAGTTCTCGAGGGTTCTCCGGGAGTTTCGCAGGCTAGTTTCTTTCAGTGAATGTATTTATGATTGAAAATTATATTGCCTGCTGTGGTAGTTAAGGTTAGCAATATTGTCACTAACAGTGAATACCATATATTGTACATAGTGCCCATATTAATAAATAGCACTAGTTAATAATAGACTCACTTAAAACTGAAGATAAAACAAATATGTAAGGCTGAAAAAATCAAAATCTTCCATTATCCCGTTCTATAGAGATAACCAGTCTTGAACATTTTATTCCTATACATTTTTTAATATGCATACTACTACATTATTTTTGTCATCACTAATATTCCTATTACTAAAAATAGCAGTTAAAAGAACGTTCCTTGGAGTGTTTTTGGAATAGGAGAAGACCGGAAGCAGGTCCCATGGCCACCAGAGGGCCTGGGCGAGTGAGTGATGGTGCCTGCCCGCCCGCCGTGGAGCGCTGGACGGTCAGGTCGATCCTCCCGTGCGCATTCAGAAAGATGTTCAAACGCTAGAAACTGAAAAAAAAAACCACATTGTTCAAAATAGCATAGATAATTTTTTGGTAAAAATACTACTTTTTAAAGATTTAAATTATACAGTTATTCATAAAAATGTGTCAGTACTTTTTAATCCAAGGTAGTCAAGTGCTTTTCATCTGTGCTGCCTCTGACTTTGCAGGCAGCACAGCACGTTGTTATTGTGTGGTCGTGCAGATGTCTTTCTGCCGGGAGCGCTGAGCCTGCGCCTGCCACCCGTGGGTGCTTGGTATGGTTTTGTCTGGACCGCTTGACTTTTGCTTGAGGGAGTTAAATGTAAAGAATCTTGGGTTGGATTCAATTGGATTGGAAAGAATTGCACTGGATTCCAGTCTCCAGTGGCCACAGGTCCTTCAGCATATAATGTAACCTCTTTGGGCCTTAAATATTTCATCTCTAAAGTGAGGGTTTTGAGGCATGTTCTCTAATATTTCTTCTTTTTGGACAAAGTGCTAAGCCAGCTTCATTTGGCTTGAAACTAATGGAACAGGACACAAGTTTTAGATTAAAACCTCCATTTCCTCAGGGAATAGAGAAGGCCCCTAGTTTCAAAAATCAAGATGTATTGTAATTAGTACTGGTGAAAGAGTCTGCGTGTATTCTGTAGTTTGCCGTGTAGTGCCTTATAATTATTTAATTGGGTTAGGCTGATGGAGTATATAATTACATGGTGAAGTTTAAATATTCAAAAAATTCACCCCACTTTCATTAAGAAGCAAAGAAAATAACTATGGTAGAATTTCTTGTCTTTGAAATTTTATTATTTTTAATTGAATTTTATTTTAATAGGGATTTTTGGAGAAGGTTTTATTTATTTATTTTTAGAGATGGGGACAGGAGGGAGGAAGAGAGGTTGGAAACGTCCACCGGGCGCTTCGTGTGCGTGCCCCAGGAACCTGCAGCGCAGGCGTGTGCGCTGACCAGGGGTCGAACGGTGTGACCTTTCGCTCGGTGGGACGATCCCCAGCCAACTGAGCCACACCAGTCAGGGCTTCGTAAGGATGTTTTTTTGGTCAGACTCGTGTTTACTTTGCTCACTATATTTCACATAGGATTCTCTTTGTCTTCCTTTCTCTCCATGTTGTAGGCTTCTTACAGTAGCTCTCACTGTGCTTTTCTGTTTTTCCTTCCTTCGCTATTCACCTCCCACTTGCTCTGCCTTGGTCTGCGAGAGGTAAACGGCAGCCGAGATGGGTGGAAGGTGTGAGTGAGAGCCAGTTTCATGTCTCCCGTGGACTGGGGTCGGCAGCCTGGCTGCAACCTGGGCAAACGACTGTTGATGAAGAATTTGTTTTCTGTCACCTTTAAGGAGAGCAGAGGGTGGTACAGCCTTTTTTATTATTTTTTTCTTTTAAAAAATGTTTTGTGTGAAGCCTTCTACATGAAAAGTTCCAGCTGTCAAGTCTTGGCACAAAGTGTGTGTTCATCTCTGTGATACTTCTTAAGAGAATCAATAGCATTTTTTCTCTTTTTTTCTGTCAGAGAAGAAATTTTGGACAAAACATTAAGAAAGTTTTATGTGCAGTCTTTGAAAAGCAACTTTTTGGTGCAACAAAGCGTTTATATGTTATTGTGTCTCTTGCTGCAGTTGCACAAATCCTCGCAAGCAGCTTTAGAGAATGGTTCCTTGTGCCATTGTTCTAACAGTTCCAGTGGCGGCTGTGGCCCTGCGCCCTCTGCCTGTGTGGTGAGTGGTGAGGAGAAGCAGTAACGTTTTCACCAGGCTGGTGGACTCTGTGACAGGGAAATGCTCTGGAATGTCTTCCAGTAGGGTAGCTTCAATAAGGACCTCGTTTTGACTAGGTTTTTGTGGTTGAAAGATTGAAACTTAACTCTGGTGAACTCACTAGGAAGGAAGGAAGTTTTTAGAAGCATATTGGATAGCGGAATAGAGTCCGAAGGAAGACTAGAGAACCACTAGCTAGGGAAGAACTGGGTGCACCTGGAGTGTGCCCCGGGGGAAGAAGTGCTCACCCAAAAGGAAATCAGGATGAGGGTTCTGTAGCAGAAGGGAAAGGGTGGTGGGTGGCTGAGCTTCACGGCATGGAAGATGCCGTTGATTTCCAGAAGCACCATGTTTGATGTGCCACTGAGAAAAAATGTGATACAGTGGTTCATCTCAGACTTCTCTTATTGAAAGAGCTTGTTAAGACTGACTTTGGCTTTTTGAAAACCTATCACTTGCATGTTTATACAAAGGAAAATGTAAGAAAAATAAATAGGTTAAGGCAGTGTTCTCATCCAGGTGAGATTCTGGTCCCCAGGAGCCACCTGACAATGTCTGGAGATATTTCTGGCTGTTACAGCCTGTCAGGTGTTATTGGTGTCTGGCGGGTAGAGGCCGGGATGCTGCTAAGCCTCCTGTAGTTCACAGGACAGGGCTCGCCTCTGCCCCCTGCTTGGAACAGGAGTTATCTGGCTCCAAATGTCAGTGTGCTGCTAACGAGAAACCTGGGTAAGGTCTTCTCAGAAGCCTGTTCACACTGGGTCTGTTTCTTCCGACTCACTTTGGCGCAGGGTCTTGATGTCCTTGTTTTTCCTCCCATCGTGTGCTGTGCCATCAAAGCCTTGGTGACACAGCAGTCCTGAAATGACTGCCACTGTTGTTCCTGGGGCTTTTCCAGGTTGCTGACACCAATTTTGCAAATTGCGATGTTTGGGTTCAAGCTCTGACAACTGTGCAGTACTGTCACCTGGAAGACCCTGATTGTAAGGTGCCTTCAGGCATGTGAAAACAGGAAAAAGTATGGTCTGGGGACTGTATTTGGCCCATACAGTCGTGTGGGAGGGGAAACGACTTCTCGAGTGCCGTGCCTTACCGCCCACTTCACGCAGAAGCCCTTTTCCAGCGTCTGGGACTGGCAGAGCCGCACTCATTGAGATCCCACTCAGAAATCATTGAAATGGAAGGCAATTCATTAGGCCATTTGAACCTGACCTCCTTTAAATTTCCACTCTTAAATCTAACATGCAGACGTGGCATAATTAAAAGTTGCTTTACAGGAGTTTTCTACTGGGCGACAGTGATGATGCAGCTAATTGTAAGCACTATGCCTGTATGTGTTGTATTCTCATTTCTAAAAACCATTTATACGTGAAATTTCAATTTATCTTAGATCTGATTCTCTCTTATGAGACTCTTGAGCGATTTGCTTAGTTAACAAAATCATGCCCCCAAATATGACTGACATAATATTAGCACATGCACTAAATAAATATTGGGTCTAATGTGGAGTCATAGTGTTGCTTATCACAGCATCTAATGGACGGGATAGTTGTTTGGTGTGTTTATTGGGAGTCAAGAATAAATTAAATGCTCACGTCAGCAGTCTGGTTTTGCTGTGTTACTCTGTCATGTGTGTGGATTATAGCTGGCCATGTTGTGTTGTAACTATTGCAGGCCGCTACAGCAAGGACGTAACATACCACAGTTTGAGTATGGGCTTTTAAAATGTGATTTACTTTTCTCCTGGGCCCTACCTCAAAAGTCAGTCTCTGACAGCAAGAAAAATGCGATTGCTTCTGACCTCCGACCTTTGACATTTGAATTTCACCTCTTTACCTGTAAAGGCAAGTAAAAGTGTTTTAGTTTAAATAATCTTTCTTCAAGAAACCAAGAAGGGGAATGCCTACTGGATGTTGTAACTAGCTACACACCAACTAAGATTACTTGCTTGCTGTTTTTAAATGAACATCTGATGTGGTTCCCCCCTTTAAATTATGTGGAAAATTACATTAGATTCACGAGACTTAAAATACTTAATTTGATTTAAAAAGTGGTTTTATAAATTAGTCATAAATTTTATCAGCTATCTGGGTAATTTAAAGTATAGTACAGTCCATTTATTTTTTTCACTTACATCACCAAGTAAGGGCTTTGGGATACATTTTAGTTTGGAGTAGTAAAGATGGAATTTTTAGGGATGGTACCTTCTGTTTATATTCATTATATAAAAGGCCCTGGCTGGTATGGCTCAGTGGATTCAATGCTGGCCTGCGAACCAAAGGGTCACGGTTTCCATTCCCAGTCAGGGCACATGCCTGGGTTGCAGTCCAGGACCCATCCCTAGTAGGGGGCGTGTGAGAGGCAACCACACACTGGTTTCTCTCTCTCTCTCTCTCCCTCCCTCCCTCCCTCTCTCTCCCTCTCTCTCCTTCTCTCTCCCTTTCTCTCTCCC